AATAGTTGTTGTTCAGAATAATTTGGTACGGAGATCGTTGCTTATGTTCAGTTACTAAATACATGTATAAAAGAGCTACTTATTGTTAACAGTTGTTGTTTACAATAATGTGGTACAAAGATCGTTGCTTATGTTCAGTGATTAAATACATGTATAAAATAGCTACTACCGTTAACAGTTGTTGTTGAGAATAATGTGGTACAGAGATCGTTACTTAGGTTCAGTGATTAAATATATCTATAAAATGGGCACTGATTGTTAACAGTTGTTGGGAATAATGTGGTACAGAAATTGTTGCTTATATTCAGTTAATAATACATCTATAAAATAGCTACTTATTGTTAACAGTTGTTGTTGAGAATAATGTAGTACAGAGATCGTTGCTTATGTTCAGTGATTAAATACATGTATAATTTAGCCACTTATTGTTAACAGTTGTTATTGAGAAGAAAGGGATTCAGAGATCCTTGCTTATGTTCAGTGATTAAATACATGTATAAAATAGCTACTTATTGTTAATGGTTGTTGTTGAGAATAATGTGGTACATGAATCGTTTCTTATATTCAATGATTAAATACATGTATAAAATAACTACTATCGTTAACAGTTGTTGTTGAGAATAATGTGGTACAGAGATATTTACTTATGTTCAGTGATTAAATACATGTATAAAATAGGTACTTATTGTTAATGGTTGTTGTTGAGAATAATGTGGTACAGAGATCGTTGCTTATGTTCATTGATTAAATACATGTATGAAATATATACTTATTGCTAACAGTTGTTGTTCAGAATAATGTGGTACAGAGATTGGTGCTTATATTCAGTTACTAAATACATGTATTAAATAGCTAATTATTGTTAACAGTTGTTGTTGAGAATAATGTGGTGCAGAAATCGTTGCTTATAATTAGTTATTAAATACATTTGTAAAATAAGTTACTTGTTGTTTAGAATAATGTGGTACAGAGATTGTTACTTATATTCAGTTACTAAATACATGTATAAAATAGCCACTTATTGTTAAAAGTTGTTGTTGAGAATAATATGGTACAGAGATTGTTGTTTATATTCAGTTACTAAATACATGTATAGAATAGCTAATTATTGTTAACAGTTGTTGTTGAGAATAATTTGGTACAGAGATCGTTGCTTATGTTCAGTGATTAAAAATATGTATAAAATAGCTAGATATTGTTAACAGTTGTTGTTGAGAATAATGTGGTACAGAGATTGGTGCTTATATTCAGTTACTAAATACATTTATAGAATAGCTACTTATTGTTAACAGATGTTGTTGAGAATAATGTGATACAGAGATTGTTACTTATATTCAGTTACTAAATACATGTATAAAATAGCTACCTATTGTTAACTGTTGTTGTGTAGAATTATGTGGTACAGAGATTGGTACTTTTATTCAGTTACTAAATACATGTATAAGATAGCTACTTATTGTTAACAGTTGTTGTTGAGAATAATGTGGTACAGAGATCGCTGCTTATATTCAGTGATTAAATACTTGTATAAAATAGCTACTTGTTGTTAACAGTTGTTGTTTAGAATGACGTGTTACAGAGATTGTTACTGATATTGAATGATTAAATACATTTATAAAATAAGTTACTTGTTGTCAAATTTGATCAGTAGTTTGTGTATTACTACATCACAACAAGTCTGAAAATGATTACCGAAATAAAGAATATTTCTTTATAAGCCCAAGTAGCTACTAGAATATATTGTGGTTTAAGAGATTAATGTTTCATTTGTTTTAAGACCATCAGTTATTCTACCAAAAGAATGTATACAGCAAAATGTTAACTAAGGTTCAATACGGTTGCCTCCTCAGCGAAACGTCTGGAATATCGAGTTTTAGGGCTTTGGATGACTCCCTTTACTATATGTTTCCGTTAGTTTTATATTATCTTAAGAGAGAATTTTCTCTGTTTAAATTACTTCTGTTCATATTATTATTATCCGTGTCACTACATCGTGCTTCTACTGGCCTTACCATACAATATATTTCGTAGCAGTGAAAAGGGAATTTATACTCAATAATATAATCAATTAATATTAATTAGTTACTAAGCTTATCAAACATTTAGAGAAATGTAATGAATTTAATCTAGGTCGTAGTTGCTGGAGGTCCACGGTGGCACAGCAGAAAGCTTGAGGGCTTATAGTGCTAAAACACGGGATTCGATCCCTACGCGATGGATAATGTGCAAGTGAGCTATTGTACAGCTTTACGTTTAGAGAAACAAAGTTTCTGAAGGGGAAAATTATAATCGCATAATATCATAATGCTAGTATTCATTAGTTAATAAGCTAAGAATAAAAAGGAGATGCCATGCATTTTAATTGACATATCTGCTGAACAGAAACCCTTTAAGAAGTTGTAACCAAAAAGAAATGTTCGACATTACAATTCAATTTCACAAACCTATAATGTGTAGTGAAATGTGTTTTCCAGCACCAGAGTAAAAACAATCTACTTCATATGTAAATAATATAATTTCACAACTGTCTGTATACAAACACTTTATATAATAAAATGCAATACATGAAAAAAGTCGTAAATATATATTTGTAATGTCATAGACACTGTACGAGTTAGGCCTGTCTCCATACATGCAGATACCAAACCGTTTACGTCTTAGCATAAAATCAAGTTTAGATAGATTAGAACTAATAGTTTTCTGTTAACATTGCGTTTTATATGATGAGAGCCTCCCCAGTGGCAGAGCGGTGTCTCTGCAGTCTTACAACGCTAAAAACTGGGTTTCGATACCCGTGGTGGGCAGGTCACACATAACCCATTGTGTAGCTTTGTGCTCAACTACAAAGAAAACAAAGTTATATGATGAGCTAAAGTTATGTAACTTACTTATTTTCCCAGATTTTATTCAGACGTGAAACGACCTGAGATCAAAGAAAAACTTTGGCATCGGTGATGAATGCGAATTATTATGCAATTGTTCCGAAAGTCACTTAAGAACACTAATCTTTGTTTAGTTTGTTTGAAAGTTACATTAGATCCTTAATCGATCTCTAGATCAGTACAGTTGGGAGCGTGGCCATCTGTTCATTGAAAAACATTTCTCACACGTGCTGTTACGCAAAGTTCTTCAGTTTTATTATGATGTTGACCATGGTTCTAACTGAATCTTTGTCTTTACACTGAGATGGAGAAGTTCATGCACTTGATATATAACAACACAAAGTTCTGTGTGATTGATCTAAGCACTTCTACTGAATGAAAAAATAATATTTAATATCAGTAGATGATAGATTAGTAAATGTTCAATATAAGCACTTCTACTGGCCGAGGAGAGAGCTTCCACTTTAGTATACATAGATAATTTGGGGGTAAATATTCAATACAAGCACGTCTATTGGCTGAGGAGAGACCTTCCACTTGAGTATAGATATATGATAGGGCAGTAAATATTCAATACAAGCACGTCTATTGGCTGAGGAGAGACCTTCCACTTGAGTATAGATATATGATAGGGCAGTAAATATTCAATACAAGCACTTGTATAAGCTGAGGAGAGACCTTCCACTTGAGTATAGATATATGATAGGGCAGTAAATTTTCAATACAAGCACGTCTATTGGCTGAGGAGAGACCTTCCACTTGAGTATAGATATATGATAGGGCAGTAAATTTTCAATACAAGCACGTCTATTGGCTGAGGAGAGACCTTCCACTTGAGTATAGATATATGATAGGGC